ATGTAGAAGGAGGTAAAGGTGAGTATAGTTCGAAACATTTGAGTAGGCTAGTTAAAGTCTTCTAGAGATATTTTTGTGTGTGTGTTTATACCGTTGTAGAGCTGTCGCATGCTTCTTGATAGTCTGGTCAAATATCTTGAATAGCGAAGATCTGTTGGTGTAAAGTAAGTTGCTGTGGAAAAAATCCACAAAATCTTTGTTGCTTAGAAGTTTGTTGGTTGCTCTTTCTGTATCCAAGGTTTATATATTTCGCTTAAAAAAAAGAGCTTAGGCTGTTCTCATCTCGTCATTGTCCAAAGCTTGCTTATTCTAGGTGATACGCCTCTCCAGACCATCTTGAATCCAGAAATTCTATAAAGAGAAGGAAAACGCGTAAGATTAGAGAAAAAAAATACAGAAATAAAGTTTCTAACACTAAAATAAACCACAACAGGTTCTTTGCTGTTAAGACTTTGCTTGAAGTGTATGAATAAAATAAAAGTGTATAAGACTACTATAAGCGAAAATAATAAAAAAAATAATAAAAAATATTATTGAAAAAATTTGGTCCAGACGTTTAGCAGAAAAAGTTCTCCCATAATGTTTTTCTTGCTTTTAAAGACTAAAATAATATGAAATAGAGTTATATTTATACATATTTATATTATATATGGATAACATTAATGCAAATTATATGTTTAATTTTTTTAATAATTACAGATATTAAATTTAAATTATAGATATATTTAGTATATATGAGTAATATAGATATATAAATCTAATTGCTCTTTTAAGATAATCTCAATTTATAGTTCATAATACAATTAATTATATTAGTTTTTTATAAATCATATAAGATTTTTTATATATCTACCTTTTAAAATATTAGCTATACTCTTTATATATTTTAGTAATATATAAATAATATTATAAATAAAATTCAAAAATATTTTACAAAATTTTATTAAAATTACTTATTAATTTTTTACTAAATTAATTAATGTTACTAAAAATTAAATTTTCTTTTTTTATTTATAATTTTACATTTTAAAAATAAAAATGAAAAATCTATTTTAAAAAGCCTTTAAAAAATATATTATATATAATATAATTATGGTCCAGTGCAAAAATGTTGATACATGAATATCATTACCTAAATTGGTAGTATTACACAAAAATCAACAATCAAGTCATATGAGTATAACAATTATATAATAGATAAGAAACGTTCCCACCTTCAACTTTATTAACAAAAACACACCTTTTTTACTCCATGAATAACACAGAATACGACTAAATCTTTTTAACTAGTAACAAAAAAAAAGTGATTATTCACGCCCACCAATAATTTTTAGATATTTGACAATGCCAGGGACAACATCAAGACTTATCACTATGCAAGGAGGTTGCTACAGTTCTTATTATTAGGGAGGCAACAATTGCGCGCATGGTTGCTGAATATAATAAAAATGAGATCTTATCACAAAAAAACTATGGCCAACTAAAAAAAGAGCTTAAACTGCGATGTTGTTGAGCTTATACGCGGCTTTGTTATTTCTGCAAATATTTCCGATGCCCACTTTCAAAACATGTATTATGACAAAAACTTGAAGAAAATGGCCATATATTTCACAATGAATATTAGTACTTTGTATACCCCACCTTACCATTGTGAACTACAACCGATTAAGAGAGTTTAGTCTACTGTAAAAGGTGTAGTTGCTAGAGCCAGTCCTCATCCTAATCTTCTCGCTATTAGAGACAAATTATTGTATGCTTTTAAGGAAAAAGTTACCATTAAAGTTACAATTGGGTTTTGGAAAATATGTCTTAATAAGGCAAAAAAATATAAATATTTATGTGATGATATGAAAATGAAAATGAAGATTCCGAAATTGAAGAATTTGATGAATAATAAAAAATTTTATTTAAATTGAAAACTTTAATGAATTTACATTTAAATATGTCTTAAAACCGAAGTTATAAATAAAATAATTTAAAAAATTTACTTTAATTTTAAGAAAAAATTTTTTTATTAATAGCATATTGGTGTATCAACTTTTTTGCACCGGACCATAATATTAATATCCCTTGCAGCTAAATTTGCCTGCAATTTTATTTTTTTAATTAAAGACACTTTTAAATACCTTAAAATATTTTATTATATAAACCAATATTTTTGTAATAAATTCTATAGTATTTTTTAAATAAAAATTGAAAAAAAAAGTTCAATTTGATTAATGATTATTTAAAAGTAAATGATCAACAAATTATAACAAATAGTAGCTATTGAAATATCTTTTTATTCATTAATCCTAGAAATATAAAATTACTACCATTTAATGCGTCTTAATGAGAAGAATCTGATAAAACAAAATTATTCTTCTACAAATATTATGTGACAGAATAACTTATAAAATCTAAAAATTTATAAATTAATATAATTTTTTATTTATCAATTTTAGAGCTATGCTTTTATTACCATTAAATATGACTTAATAAGAGAAATCTAACAAATATAATTTCATCTTTTTATGATCACTACTCATTCACTAGATCATAAGATATTTTAAAAAATTCAAAATTTTTTAAAATTAATTTTAGCTCCTACAGTTTAAGGGATACACTATATATATTATAATTTTTTAAAATTCTTTAAAATTGCAAAGATCAAAAGTTATACATCTACCTGCTAAAAGTATTCAAATACTTCTAAAAAAATAACTATTAAATTACATTATTTTAATATTTAGTAATCAAAATTTAATGATTTATGATTTATTAATAAATTCATTTAATTAAGATATATATATTTAATTACAATATTTTTAAATTTGTAAATTTAATAAATCAGAAGTTATTATTAAATGTCTAAAAATAGTAAAAGTAACAATTCTAGAAATATAAAAATAATAGATATAATATATAAATCTAATAAATTATATATATTTTATTTTTTTAAAGAAAATGTTGTAAAATTTGTATATGTTAAACTTCTAAAAATAAATAATGAATTATTTGCATTTTACTGTTGAAAATATTATTTGGACAATATTTTGACAAATTTTGAAATTTTTTTTTCATAGAATAATCTTAAAAAATAGTTTGTTATTTATAATTAATTTGGTATTATTTTTTAAATAATATTTTTAAATCCTATTATTATTTATTTTAGAAAATACAAAAATTAAAAACAATTTAAAATGAAATGTCATTCTGTTTCAATTTTTTGTCTATTAAAAGATATTATACTAACATTCATACATTACCCTTCCAAAAGTATTTGGTTAACCAATAAATATTATATTTTATTAATAATAATTAATATTTAATTAGCTATTTATCTATTATTTTTAATACATACTTCAATTCGATATAGCATACTCTTAATTAAATTAATGTAAGTTACAGATGGAAATACTTTTTACTCTTCTTGTAATACTTTTTCAAGTTCATGAAAATTCTTTAGATGTGCAGAATATTTTCAAAGTCTTCATTCAAATTCATACTATAAATATTTAATAGGATTAAGATTCAAAAATTGGGAGGGCCAATCTGAAAGAACTTTAATTTTTTTCTGTACAATCCAATTTTTACTTTTCTTGCAATATAATCTAAAGTAATAATAGGATTTATAAATTGTTAAGATCTCAAGTTGCTTAGAATTTGCTAAAAAAATTGGATAAATCTTTCCTTTTTTAGCCAGAAATTTAATTTTTTAATTTAAAAACTGGCTAATATTATTATAGTTCTGGTTTTGAAGAAATACTTAGAGTTCATAGTAAAATTTTTTGGCTGGACCTTATCTATTTATATATTTTTCAGGATTCTGCAATAATCATAGCATTATTTGTGATGTTTTTATCAAATGATTTTCTGATACATGCATCATAATACAATAAAAATACATCCATTTTAATTGTCAGAATCAAAGGAATTTTTTCTTTAAAATAAATGATATTTAATATAATTGATTTAGAGAAAATCAAATTAAACTTGGCTAGATACTTTTGAAAGAATAGTATATGTATATAAAGATATATAAGTAAGCAGATTTTATGATCCATAATTTTTTAATATTTTAGGCACAACCAAATAAATTGTGTGATATGAACTCTAAGAAAAAGATGAAGGATTAAATTATAAAAGGAAAAAATTATACATGATGAATTCTGAAAAAAATGGTTAAATTATGGAAGGGGAAAATAAGTTTAATTAATAAAAGATATGGTATACAGTCAACCCTTATTATAATGAACTCTAGGTTCTAAACCTCAACTTCGCTATAAGGCTATAGTGAAGATTTTAAGAGATTTGATTGATTAATTCATTATAGCAAGGGGAAATTTATTATAGTTATCTGAAAAATTCACTATATCAAGGGTTCGCTATATCAAGCTCATTATAGATTTAATATGTAATACTAACAGTTTACATTGCTCTTATAACTATTAATGGCATAATAAATAAAAACTTAATAACAGTTCTGATAAAAATATTATTTATTATATGATGATTTATTATTGAAGTGATCATATTATTAAATATTAGTACTATGATCTGACACTGTAAGAATCAAAGAATCTTTAAATTTAATGTTGAAGGGTGAAACAAAGACAAACTCTAAAAAAGAAAGATTGGTAAGTAAAAAACACTCCTTATTATAAAATAAATAAATAAATAATTTGATAATTTAAACTTTGACAAATTGGCTGTCAATATATCTTGTTGGTTTGTAATAAACTAATAAATAATAATGGCTGATAAGCAAAGACTAGTAAATAGGTTAACCCATTATTGATGGTAAAATATCTATTCATCATTTTACATGTTACTTATATTGAAATTCTTTTTATTATACCTTTTTTGTCATCTTTCACATTATGATAAAAATTCATATGACTTTCGTAAACAATTGTTCAATTTATTGTATACATTTTCAATTTATTTTATTAAAATGAAAATTTTCATATAGAGTATGTTAGTACAAATTTTCTTAATATTGTTTTTATTAAAATGAAGTCGATCATTGTTACACATGCTGTGCTAAGTCCTAATTTGTAAAATCATTCCAACATTTTTCATATACCGTACATCAGTATTCCACTGTCTCGGAATTTTCCATTTTCAACTTCGTCTCATGTTATGTTACCATAATTAAACCCAAATTTGAAATCTAACCTGTTTTTTTGCGATTTATTTTTAGTCGTGAAACTATATTAACTATATTACATAGTTTGACTTTATAACTAATATATTCTGGCGCAGAATCCAGAATTTATGTTGTACTGTACATTCATAGTTTTTTGTCGTCTTTCACATGATAAAAATTTCGTAAGCGAACTTATCATAACCACAGCATTAACTTCACAATAATCAATTTATAATGATATATGTTAAATGTTTATAGTACAAATTCTCTTAATATTGTCTTTATTATGTTCTTTATTCAATTTTTGGATCTTTTACTAACCGATCATGTTCTTTCTGTTACACATGTTAACGTAACGTTGAGTCCGAATTGGTTAAATTGTACATTCATTTTCCACGTACTGTATACCAATATTCCACTGTTTCGGAATTTCCCATTTTCAACTTCGTCTCACCCGACCCGCTTGATCCCATGGTTCCTCCTTGTATGCTAGTGAACATCATTTTAAAGTCGAATAAATCGTATCTGCTTCTTTTTTCCACAATTGTAATAAAGTATTAAAAATTTCTTTATTACAAATGAATGACCTTTGCAATACAATATAGAGCAACCTCTTATTAGTTCTAGATTTTTACTGACGGGACTCTTTAATTTTAAAGATTGGAGTATTTGTAAATTAATGATTTTAATATATCCATTCAAGAAGAATGAATCAATATTGATAATAATAATTGTTATAATTAAAATATTCATTTAAGAATATTTGATTGTTATAGATAATTTTTTGTGAAAAATAAAGGATATTTTTTTTTTATATTTTCTGATAAAAATAAATTTAAATAAAAAGTTTCAAATCATCATCATTTTATAGATGTTTCTCGAATTAGTGTAATATTAAAATGTTTTATTCTCCATATTCTTATTAAATGACTGGTAGAACAATATTTGTACCTTTTTTAATTATTTGGCTGACAAAAGAAATAAGTGGTTGATGCCATTAATGAAACACTATTTAAAGAAAACCAGTGTTAGAGAATTAAGTTTAACATATATGAATTTAACAAAATAAATTGAAAATGTACAAGATTAGTAACTAATCGGATTCTGCTCCAGCCTCTAGAATATATTAATATACTGTAAAATTTCGTCAATTTATATGTTTCGCGGCTAAAAAATAAATCGCAAAAAATGATTGAAATTCAAATTTGGATTGAATGGCACAATTTGAAACAATTGAAACAATTGGTTTAAATGATTTACAAATTTGGAAACAACGGGCGTGTAACATAATTAGGGAACGCGATACGATTTTATAATTAAAATATATTTGAACTTATAAATATATTGTAATAATAATAAAATTAAAAGAATATTTAAAAATATATTAAATAAACTTTAATTCTTGTGTATTATAATATAATATTTTATAAAAGCCATATATAATAAATTATTTGAATATGACAATAGAATTGGCGATCGGAAATTCCGAAATGCTAAATCCGATAACGAATGAATTAAACTTCATTCTAAACTAAAAAAGGATTTATAAATGTTTGCTGCACAATTGTCATCTGTGGAACGCTTTAGTGTTTCATAAAATTCTTTTAATCATTTCATTTTGTTAAAATTCTCAACAACTTATTTGTTTTGCTTTTTCAGAAAGTCTTTACTTAATCTATAGAATTCATAGAGTAATAATAAGATATTTTCAACATGGGCTTAAATTGTTTACAAGATTTCACTTGATAACGCGCATAAATTATTTTAATTTTACAGTATACACGAATCACATAAATAAATCATTTAATGGATAAATTAAAAAAATTCATAGAATCTTCTAAATGTAATAATTAAAAATTCTATTATATAAAATAATTTATATTGTAATAAAATTAAAGGATACCTCCCATGTATATTGTTAAGATATGTATGATATGTATTACATAATATGAAATAAATCACTTACGTATAGTATCAGGTATCATCGAGCGATAGGAATATTAAATGTTTCTAATTGATTATTTTACAATAGTCAACTAATTTAATTAAATTTCTTAATTTAAAACGTGTAAAAGCTCAATGTAGATAAATGTTTCATACATATTCCGTCGAAAATCTAAAAAGAGTAAAAAGAATACCGTATTTTTGAACATTTGTGATACATTAGTGATTTTGAATATGAATTACCGGTATGTACATCTGATATTCTGACATTTGATTATATTAAACCTAAAAGAACTTTAATATGTAAGTCAATCATACGAGTTCACGTAAATATTGAAGCAAGAAATAAAAATTTTAAATATTTTTAATTTATTAAAACCCTATCTTTATTTGCAAATCTTTAATTATTTTAAAATGAAATCAAAAAATAAGCTTCGACTATTTTTACTATATTATGATTTATACAATTATACCTCTATTATATTTCTTTTAAAATTCAAAAAAGAGAAAGTTTACATAATAATAATATTTTACATTTATGCTGATTAAGAAAAATTTTAGAAATCTAAGAATTGATACATAATTTCTCCTACATTAGAGAATTTTAAAAAATAAATCCAGTTCTTCGTTCCATCCGGATTTATTTCGATATTCGGATTTAATCCGAATCGAAGGAAACCGGATTTTAAATCTGATCTAACTTCTATCTGGTCATGAAGCCATCGTGGATTTCTAGTCTCGAGCATGGGGATTCTTCATCTTCAACAATACGAGCTATTTTATACATGGTGTTCTAACAAAATCGAGTCATGTGATATTAATCGTCACCAGTGTCACATCTCGATCGTCTCCAAAATGATCATTCAATAGATTATTGTGTCGTTTAGAATATTGGCAAAGTCTTTGACATCTTCAAATGAAATAGACCGGTTATGCGGCCCTATCAAACAAAGCCAGTGTTTACTAACGAATAATGGAATTGCTTAATTGGAAAATTATTTCTATAACAATATAAAAGAGAAGATTTTCATATATAAAGAAGAGACACGATTTGTGCCAATACTACGATTGGCCGATTTGTGCCAATACTACAGATTGGTCGATTTGTGCCAATACTACAGATTGGTCGATTTGTGCCAATACTACAGATTGGTGTGGATAGTACTTGTTGTTAAAAGTTTTTCTTTCATTTCTTTCATATTTTGTAAATAAAAAATATCCGTACTGAATATTTTAAGGAAAAGCAAATAAATGCTAGGAAGAAACCACGAATGGACTTCCATTATATATCTAAAAAAATCAAAGCCCCAGACATCAGAAATGCGCATTTTTTAACGGAATTAATTTAACAAAAAGGAATTTGATAAAAGTGGAAAAATTAATTTGAATAAGCCATTGGAATAGTAAACCACTGAAATAATACCAACTTAATATTGCCCAAATCAAAAATGGCAACCCGGAATTTGGTGCATCAGGTAACGGGTAGACGGATAAAATTGCAGGCACAAAAATTACCTTTAAGTTTAAAAATTTAACCAAAATTTAACAAATCTTATTGGATATCATGAAAATTTGAAGATAAATTTTTTTGAAAGGAGTTCCATGAGTGTATTATAAGTTCACGTAAGCATTTTTTAATAAAGTAATAATTATCGTCGGATGTTTGCGCCTGAAAAAATCATTGCAATTTTGTAACTGTGGCTTTACTTTTTTGGCTTTAATATTTATATGTGGCAAAGCGCCTGATATAGGAATGATTATGAAAACAATTTCCGTATTTTCCGTATAAAATTTGATAACGGATAACGACACAAAAATGCAGTGTATTCACATCTTTATTCCTTTTACAGAATTTATTAGGCTTTCGAAGATCCTATTATTTATCAGCCGGATTCGGACAACGGATATGTACCCATGAATAAAAGAGCTAGTCTTATAATAAATAGTATACCTAGGCTTCGTTGCATTCAGAACCAGAATGTTTTGCCGTGAATGTAGGACAAGATGAAAAAAAAAAATCTTATTTGAAAATTAATATTTTTTGATTTTTATTTTTTTGTATTGAAAAATATTGAAGAATGTTTACGTCGGATATCTGAAAATATATTACTAGTGCAATTATTTTTGCGGAATAATGGATTTTTTTTCTTTAATAATAAAGAGTATTACTTCGTCATATTCTTATATATATATGTTATTACTATAACTGGAAACAATAACATTTTTTATTTGTTTACTAGGTCAAGTGCTGGTTTATTGATGTAAAATTTTATATGAATCATTGATCAAGTTTCATTATTGATGTAACAAATAAAATTCTGATGGATTGATTAACCTATTTGTTTTTAGTTTAATCTTTGTAATCTTGATTTTATTGATATATAGATAGTATTTAAAAATATATATATATTTTTTTTGATAATAAAGAGCGTTATTGTAACAAATTTTTAAAAGATTTATTTAATTGATTCTTCTACAACAACAATCTCGCCGTCAAATTATTTCCAAGCCCCGGGATAAGCAATCTTATCAGGCTTATCACTGACGGTTTTAGGAAATAACAGGTTATTTTTTATAAATGCACTATTATATATATATATATATTTTTTTTTCATCGGTTAATTTAGAGATGTGGCCGCAACTAGATCTTATTAATCGCAACCCGCAATTCGCAACCGCAACCCTATATTTTTTACCATTTGGAAAAACAGTTGAGGCGTCAACCTTATCTGTTATACAGTAATACCTGTAAATACCAAATATTTAAAATATTTCGTAAATATGTTTTTTTTTTGTTACAGTAGAAATCATTTTCTTTTTCTCAAAGGTACCATATTATTTTTAGGAGTTACTGTAATCATATTAAGTTTCACAAGAGTCAAATATACCTTTGTTGATGGGAACCAATAAAATCTAATAACAGATAAAATCCATATAATATTCTTATTTCTTCATATTACTTCATATAGCAGATCACCTCTTAATATTTTGTTTAACAAATGAGCTTAATATTTAATAATTGGAATAAATTTTTTTGATTTGTTACAAATATTTTAAAGACAAAAATACTGTAAATTTATTAATGTTTCATAGTATTATATTATAATATATTCTACACCCACCTGCCAAAAATATCTGAATACTTCTAACAAATAACCATTAAATCACATTATTTTGACTAGAATTTAATTTACTATGATTCATTAATTCATTAAATGTCTAAAAACAGTAAAATCACTAAAATGCAAATAACTTCTATTAATCATAAAGATATAAAAATAATAAATACAATCAATATACTTTAACAAGACAAATCTAATGAATTATATTTCATCTTTCTAGGTTTAATAGAAAAGAAAATATTATAAATTTTATATTTAATTATTTAATTCATATTATATAAAAATGCATTTAATTGCAATATTTTATGTTTCTAACTTTAATGAATCAAATGTTATTTAAAGTCTTTTGTGATGTCCAGAATCTTTTATATTTCAGTATATTTTTGAACAATTTAGATATTTTTTAGATGTTATCTTGTTACAATTTTTGAATATCTCTTTTTGTTAGGATAGTCATGTGCACATTTAACTGATAAAATAGTGTAGCATCTGATTCAGAGAATATTGAACAATTTATACATGATGAAATCGAACCTAATAAAGTCTATCAAGTAAACTTATCTAAGTTTATAAATAAAGTAATTTTAAAATCAAAGCTAAAATTAATTGGAATAGCCAATACATAGCCATATATATGCATATTTAAATGATAAAATAGCTTATTAGTATACAGAAAATATCAAAAAATTTATGTTGCAAGGTTTAGTTAAAATAATTAAGGGTATTGCTAAATATCACCAGTGGTGATCGTCACTACATATAAAATATTTTTTGAATTTTCAAAAATTTTTGACTAAGATATTATTCTAATTATAATATAAATATTATTACTATATGTAAATTTATGGGTAGAACAAGTTTGCCTTAGATTATAAAGGCTGTTGTTTAGATAGTTTTTGAGAAAAATAGGAAAGTTTGATTTTATAAGCAAAATACAATTTTTTGTTTTAAAAAAGATTTTTTGAGTCAAATTTTCAAAATTTTAGTGTGATTAGTATCTACTCAGGTTTGTTTTAGTACACATTTATTAATTATTATTTAAATTGAAATTTTTGAAAAAAAATTTACAATATGTTTTTTAACTCTAGCTAAAATTATAATTTTCGGCCAGAATTAAGTGGTATGGTGACGATCACCACTGGTGATATTTAGCAATACCCAATAATTAATATTCCAATAAACCTAAACTTATAAAGTTTAGAAATATAGTAAATTGAAATTAAAGCATTAATTAATATAACTATATGTTTCATTTAGCTGACAAAAGGCTTATATCAAAGTCCATTAAAGCTTAAAAATATAGTAAATTTGAAATCAAAATCAGAATCTTGGTATAGCTGCATGTGCATTTAGTTAGTTAATATCTACAACTGAATATTGAGAAGCAACCTGATAAAAGCATATATTATCAGCTTATCAAAGCCCATTAAAGCCAAAATTTTTTACTCTATATGATACTACTATAAACTTATTAATAATTAAATTTAATGTATTTGTAGTATAGTGGTGATTTTAATGATAAATTATAAATATTTTAATTTTAAGTATTGACAATCAATGTAATAATAACAGGTCTATTCAATTCTGTTTGAATTGATAATTATTGGCTGATGAAATTGTGTGATCTAATTAACAACCTAAACTTTTTGAACAAAAATGTGGTATTATTTTAATCACTTTTTTTAAGCTTAGTAAAGTTTTAATATGCATTTTTAAAAATTAAAAGTTTACTATATCTTTATAATATTACTTATTGCTATTTTAAAAAAGAAAAATATTTTATTATTATATGAAAATAAGGTAATTAAGGTCAACTGTGATCATAATATTTAATTTTGATTTTGATTATATGTTAGGATTGGTTAATAGATTTTTGATCAAAAAACCTGAATGATCAGAATAATGATATTATAAATTACGATGAGATTTCAAAATTTTGGAACAATTATTTATATGTATAAATTCTTTTCTTGAAATAATTTTATCTAAAACTTATTATTTTTGATTATTTTTCTTTGATCCTTTTTTTTAAAAAAAGGGAACAGACAACCAATTCTGAAACACTAAATAATGTATAATTTTAACTTCTAAGATATAATATTTTTAGAATTATTGATAAATTTATCACTTGGATCATGCTAGAATCAAGTAAACCCACTAGGATATTGATATTATACCTTTTATATATATATATATATATAAAATTTAATGATAGCCTGATAGGTAAGCATCATACTAATATATTTCTTGTGGCACAATTATAAACTCATATACCAACACCCATTTTTTATATTATATCAATCAACAAATCAGAAACAAGATAATCGATAATCTACATATAATTACGCTCAGGTGGTTTATTTTTTAGAAACTTAATTTTAAAAGAATTGGTTCTAGAAATATGGCAAAAGTTTATCGAGCAGAAAGGAGAGACTTTAATAAATTTATTACTCTAAAGAAAATTGTTGAAGAAGTAACTATTATACATTTGTTATTTTTATTTTAACGTATTCTTAAAACATTTCTATTCATGTTTTAGATAAATTCTTATAAAAATATTATTTATTTTTACGGCACTATAAGAGGTATAATGAATGCTTTAAATATTTTGATATAAATATATAGTATATATAATTACCCTTTGTGAGACCTAAAATAATTTTTTTTTAATAAAATTTCGTTAGTAATGGAATACGCTGATAGCGGTACTCTTAATGTCCTACATAATGAAGGAATTGTGCACCGTGATTTGGTAAAGTTCGTTTATTTTGCATTCCTATTTCTTATTTTGTATTGTTATTATATTATAATTTTAATGTATGTTATTTATTGCATCTAATAATAGCACTCCAATATTATGATGCTAAGTCATCAAAATATTAAATTAGCAAATCTTGGTTCGTCCAGAAGGATTGTGGAAACGCCCAATCCTTGTCCACATGGATATTTTCCCAATAAATATGCGATACTTATGGTGTCGGTGTATTATTATGGGAAATATCTAGTGGACATTCCCCGTTTCATACAGAACCAAGAAACATTTGTGCTCCTCTTATTTGGTAAATTGTAGAGAGACACTGTCCCTAATACACCTGAAGATTATGTAAAAATTTATACTGGTAAATAATATTATAATTAACGGATTATTTAAATTATAAATGTGCTTACACATATATATATTTATTTATATATTCTCTCTTCTTGGTCATCATTTATGAACAGATTCCACAAATTCTTGTTACACTGTAAAGGACAATATTGATGAAAGGAGATATCTCGCGAACGATTCTATACCTGAACTACAACCTGGGAGAAATGTGAATGGAAATTCAATCAAATGTTCATAGATTTAAAGAAAAGCAATCGAATTACTTCTTTCTAATTGCTTTTTTCTATATCATAAATGGCTTGCCGAATGCTTATAGTTGATGAAATATTTTATCTTACAAGAAAGAAATGAGGTGGAAAATTTTGTAGCCCAATACAATTTCGTTTTTATGTATGAAAGGTGAAAAACATGAATGAAGGTAATTTATAGGTGTATATGGGACAAGTCGCTCAATTAATTTAGTAAATTAGAAATTTAATAAATTTAATAATGAATTTATTCTATATTTTTTATTATTACAAATTATAAATGAAGATTTTTAATTAAACAATATTAAAATTTTTGAGGTGATGGCAGTGCGTATCTTTAAATGTGGATGATACGCTTACGGATATGAATGTTCCGGTAATTTCAATTATCAGCCACTATAATCTAATTGCATCATTTAAGATTTCTCGTCGCCTTTCCTGTCATTGCCGGATTTTCCATGATATTAAATGTTTAATACCTCAAATTTATTTGAAGTCGATAAATTTTTTTGCAAAGAGTTCTGGATTTTCATATACTATGGTTTTTTTTTTTATTTTTATTCGTCATCCATTCGATTACATCTATTATAATCTAATTGTGTTCGCATATATATTCAAGAAAAATGTAAGAGATTAAAAAAGTTGTTTAATAACAAACCAAAATATAAATTAATATCATTTTTTAATTTGTTGTGTAATTCTGCCACCTGCTATACGTGTATTAATATTCAAGGATTCATCTTGATTGTTTAATTATTCTTAAAGGTCTACCCAAAGAAATAACCATGATCTAATAAATAATCATAAATACAGAACATAAGTCATTCTCATCTAATCCTTGTCAAAAAGGAATCGTAAAACCGAAATATATCTTATATTTACACTTTTTTCTCTAATTAATTTTCAAATGCATCCTTTTCTTAACGTATCACACTTAAATATTTTTGCTCTTCGATAGAATTTTCATACATCATAAAAAACACTTTACATGGTAAATCAGGATATAAAGTTCAATATACCTATTATTCAAAAACAATAATCTTAACCTTTTGAATATAAAGTAAAATCTAATTACTGTTAACTTCTCGACTAAAAGAAACTTACTTCAACACTTCTAACAAAAGCTTGGTCAGAATGATAAATAATAATATATTTGGGTGTAATACTCTCTCGTCTTCTTCACCATTAACAGGTCTAATAATAATTAAATTTCTCAAGCCCAACAATCCAAAATAAGTAGAAAACGCTTCCACATCAAATTCATCGTCATAACAAGAAGTTGATGAACCATTATTTGATGAAGTGAACATTCCCTTTCATTTTCCATTATCAATATAGTATTGTTTAAATGACTTAAATCTCCTCCTTCGGAAGAAGTTCTTGAAGTTTCAGTAGCGTGACTTGTTATATCTGATTCGATCTCTCGTAATATTTCTGCCAATAAATTCCATTTCTGAAGTTTGTATACCCTGAGGTAATTTTGATGTCGGATATGTCGGATAGGAATTTTTTTAGAGTATTATCTGTAGGATTTGTAGTTGATGTACGAACGAATACACGTCTTTTCGCACCTAAATAAAGTAAACCCCGATAAATTTGTATAAACAGTCAAACGTAAACTTTGTAAAAAATATATCTATGAATATAATTACACTAAAAATCGTATTTCCAGCATCCAAAGATAACCAAGGAGATTATTGTTGTTGTGATAAAGCAGAAATGGGAGTTTGACTTGTAATAATGGTTTCTAAAAAACTATTAAATGATACGCAAAAAATATATCTATGAATGAAATTACACTAAAAATCGTATTTCCAGCATCCAAAGATAACCAAGGAGATTGTTGTTGTTGTGATAAAGCAGAAGTGGGAGTTTGACTTGTAATAATGGTTTCTAAAAAACTATTAAATGATACGCAATCATAACTAACCAAGTAACTATAATATTAAAAGTTGATCCAGTTAAACTCAAAAAAAAAAGAACTCCAAAAAAGAAATTAACGAAAAAACTTAATCAAATACATACTTTCTTAGAGTAGTTAAATCATTAACTATCAACTTAGTTTTTGAGCTGACACGATACCAGACAGGTTCTAATTGTTGTTTTATTAATATATCGAATGATCTAAAAATGAATTTTCTACTGATAAATCATCAACGTTGAATAAATCACAAGCTTTCGGTTAAAATAAAAATACTGGAAATTTTATAACTGGTTACCCAATTTCCATTCCTTTTTTTGTTTCACTTAAAGATGGTCGATTTGCTCGTCATCGACGATGGCGCTACTTTGCCCTAAATTCATTAATGAAACGCAGAGCATCATCAGAAGGTCGACAAATTTAGAGGAAGGGCAACTCACAGTGGACGATACTAGATTTAATGCAAAACGATACTCACATAGCAAAGTATTACGGTATGATGAAGGATTGCGTGATACTATTCAATATTGGATGCGTCGTAGAGCTGAATTAGACAAGGTCTCAGAGAATGATTTTCTTTACATTTAGCGCAGATATGCATTGGCAAGACTTACATAATCTAATGCATAATGAGAAAATTCTGTAAACACAGAAACAGTCCAGGAAGCTGCCAGGCGCCGACGTAAAGATCTCATAAATAATCTCCATATTGCTGCATGGTTCTTTGAAAAGCGATTTAAAGTTTTTTTGTTTGAGAAAGTGTTAATGTTAATTCCTAAATAGGGATTAGTTGACTGGTGGTATCGATTTGAGTGGCAATTCATGTTCATAGCATTGCCAAGCGAAAAGAAGCACCAGAAATCGATTGGGAAAACATGAAAAATAATGATCTTTAGTTACAACAATCAATCCCGACCTGAATGCACCTCCTTCTGATCACCACCCATGCCAAAAGCACTCTGAAGACTTTAATGATAATAATGGTTACCTTACTTATCTAGAACTAACAACTGCCAGAAATGATCCACTTACAAATACAGGGATGGATGGCAAATGTTGATTTGATACCCATCTTTACCAAGCAGTATGTTTCGAAGTATGCTAGCGAAGCAGAACCACGGTACTTAGGGTCCTTAGCCTTCTCAGAAGTGTTGGACAAAGCTCTTCGTAATGATAACCCAATGATCCAGCTGTTAAAGCATTCCAAAAGTTGCTTATTCACACAGTCGGAGAACGTGATTTTTCGGCGCAAGAACTTGTCATCATCTTCAATTACCGCTCTATCATAGTAGCCGAAATTTTGTTAGTCTAAAACTTAACGAAGAGGCGAATCAACAGCTTCGTGATAGTAATGAAAATGTTCCAAATAATGAGAACAATGGAATTATGTAAACAGATGCCTTACCTCTACAAAGATATTGTAATAGACCTGCCGAACTTGAGGAACTTTCATTGTTCAAATTGGATCAGCAATATAAAAACATTGTACGTATTTAGCCGCGTCCATCTCCCATTCGAAATGGTTCGTTATAGAGACCTTCTTAGCCTCACAGAGAATCACACTCTTTCATGGATTGATTTATATAACCAACATCTTGTAGAAATCAATGACGACCCTGATGATTTAATTGGACCTGCTGTGGATGATATTCAAGAAGTTGATGGTAACGATTCTAATGAAGAAGACGACGACACACCACAGGAAGCGTATGAACTTCGAACTGACTGGATGTTACTGGCTGAAATGATGCCAAATAGACAGACGCGTAGCCTAGATGACTTTAGTGCCCGTGATATTGATAGAATCACGACCGGGTTAACGAAAGTTTGCTACGATATCATGAAATTGAAGAGGCAGAAAGCTTTATCCAGCAGGCAATTGGTAACAACTAAGTAACTATAGTTGGAAATAATTCAGCTAGTATCGACTTTAGAACTCTAAGTGGGAAACAAAGGTTAATACGTGAAAGAGTAGAATCCATAGCACCTTTAAGAATTATTATCATGGGTACTGCTGGAACCGGCAAATCTTACCTTATTTATGCTATTCAGAGCACTATTCATTCGTCACTTTCTGTTCCAATATGCGGGGCAAACATTGAGAATCTTTGAAGAACTCCAAAGAAAACCAAAATATATAGAATATTTTATAATCGATGAAATGAGTATGGTAGGACGTCGTTTTCTTGCTATAATTGATTTACTAAGGCTGTGGTAAACATTTCCGGATCACTACAATATTCCCTTTGGTAGCCGATCCATAATTCTTGTTGGTGACTTTGGGCAGCTTTCCGGCATGTGATGTTCCCGGACTCTCTAGATCATATGGTCGTAGTGCCTATAGTCAACTTCAAGAAATTTATAAACTTGAGGCTATGCAAAGACAACAGGTAACTCGGATAAACAACAACAATTCAGAAATCTCTCATCACTTACGTGATGGAAGGTCTACACGATCCGACTGGGAATTATTTAATGACGTGAATTCCAGAAAATATTCCTGAATCAGAGAGAAAAACTTCAGATGCCATCAATGTTCTAACAACATGGGAAGAAGAGGATAAAATAAATTTGAATAAACTTCGATTATTAAACCAACCCGTTGCTAAGATTCATGCGGTACATACGGGTGGATCTGAAGCTTCTAAGGTCTGCAGAATGCTGCTGGTCTTATAAATGGGGTAATAGGGACAATAACAGATATTTTATATAAAGAGAAGCCCGAGTATACCTCTTTACCTGAGTTTTATTTGACAGTATAACGGTCCAACTCTTAGGAATATAGAAGGGTCTATTGTTCTATAAGACGTATGTGGGAAGATAAAATCGGAAGTTGCTCTCGCTTGCAATTTCCACTTTCTCTTGCGTGGGCCATCACAGCTCATAAATTGCAAGGTCTGACTTTATCAAAAGCAGTAATAGACCTTGGGAAGAAGGAATTTGTGGCTGGCTTGTCATTTGTAACAATTTTCCGCGTTCGTTCTCTTGATGATATTCTTTTCAAACACTTTAGTTTAAACAGACTTGNTGAGTTTAATTTGACAGTATAACGGTCCAACTCTTAGGAATATAGAAGGGTCTATTGTTCTATAAGACGTATGTGGGAAGATAAAACCGGAAGTTGCTCTCGCTTGCAATTTCCACTTTCTCTTGCGTGGGCCATCACAGCTCATAAATTGCAAGGTCTGACTGCAGTAATAGACCTTGGGAACAAGGAATTTGTGGCTGGCTTGTCATTTGTAACAATTTTCCGTGTTCGTTCTCTAGATGATATTCTTTTCAAACACTTTAGTTTAAACAGACTTGAGCGTAAAAAGGTTGAAAGAGCGGTTAACGAAAGAAACTAGATTAAGTGGAATACAACGATTTAAATTTTTCTCGTTTTTTTAATAACCAAATTTTTATTTTTGGCTTTTTCGTTGAAAAAAGATTATCAGAATATCTGTGTTACCTGTGTTACAAAAAAAAAGGCTTTTTCTTATGGATAATACAAATAATTAAAGGTGATTCAAACGTTTTATAGCAGATTATAGCAGATTTATTCTTTATTCATATTTTTTTTTTGTTAATATTTGCTTCTTCTAAAGATCTTATACAAGTTCGACAAAATTCATATCAAGCATAGTAATTTAAACTCTGATAATATCATAATGGGTATAAATTTATTTCGAAAAAAAAAAGAGTTTAAAATAAAAAAATATACAAGCAAAATTAAAAAAAAAAACATTTTCATCTTTAGAAAAAAAAATCGAGGAGGAAGATGAAGAAAATCAGAGGGAAAGAAATCAGAAAATACAATTAAAAGAAGATATAATGCGTGTCATCACTGTCAAATAGGCTATCTAAACGTAAAAGAAGCTCATCTTATGAGATGGCGAAGATGAAATCTCAACGTAAAAAGAGTTCACCCAAATCGACACTGAAACATCTCTGCTTACAAATCTTAATAAAAGAAAGGAATGGTTTCTATAATAATAAAATAATAAAAAATAAATACACCAAGATTCGTACTTACAAATCTTGGCCGTTTGGGTAAGTTGAGATTTAATATTTGCAACTCATAAGATGAGATTCTTTTACGCCTAGATAGCCTATTTGATGCCTAACAAAAGAAAAAGAAGTCATTGTTCTTTTAGTAAATAATCTTTTATCAAATTACCATGAGATGACATTTTAAAAGAAGTCATTGATAGTAAATAATTTTACCTTGAAGGACCGTAAGATTTTATAGGCGCGCGTTCCGCCCGCCAACATTAAATCTTTTTTTAATTGTGCCTTCCGGTTTCTTTCTCTCTGATTTTCTCCCGCTTCCTCTTCCCGATTTTTTTTTTTCAAGAGGACGCGGTGAACATGGTATCTTCACAATAATATAATTCAACCGTCCATAGAACATAAAATATTAGGTACACATAATAAGTATATTAAAAGAAACTTGAGAAAAAAAGATTTAACACAATTTTCTTATTATCATCTGCATTTTTTTTTAATTTGCAGTAGTGAATTTTTATTTGATTATTGTATAATTATAAGTTTAATTTTGCCTTCTTGGCCAATTTCAATTAAGGCATTCGTTATCTTCTCATATCTAAAGAGATATAAGTCTTATAAATAATATAATAAGTAAAATTATTTATGTTGTCGAAACTATTAGAAGTATTTAGGTACAGTTACTGTGAATGATATTAGTCTTTCATTACCAGAAGAACTTGCGGCAAAATTAAAATTGCAATCGATATAAAAAATTTGAACAGTACACACGACTAACCTAGAATTTTCAGACATGTGATTAAAGTTTTATTTTTTATTATCGAAAAAGAAAAGAAAAATTGATATGACTCATATGAGAAAAATGAAAATACTAAATTCAATAAATAGAATGTATAAAGTTCTAATATCATTTATTCTAATAAATCTAATAAAACTAATAAAATATATAGGTTAATGAAAAATAGAAGTTACTATTTGCTCGATCGGATTCAAATCAGGTGATTGAACTGGCCATTCAATGCCATTTTCTTCACATTTTATAAAGGATAAGGTATTACAAAAATGTAATTGTGCACAGAAGATCATTCCAGGAACAATTAATTATTGCCTTAGGGTCATTATCTTGTTGACATTTAAATCAATCTTTTCTAAAATGTAGTTTGCTATAAAAGAAGTTAAATAACTTTTGTTATAAGTCTTTGATGTTCAACAATGAATTACTGTAGATAAATGATTCTTTTTTATATGATATTCATCTTTTTTTATTTTCGAACCGCTCTTTGAGATAATTTTTGTGTTTCTTGACATTTCTTTTCCATTTCCATCTCGATCTTTAAAATAAAGTTCGACGATAATAAGCACAATAAGGAATCATATCTTCAATGGAAATAGAATTCATCCCATATGATACGGATATATCAAACCGTATCATTTGTAATTACAAATAACGAATGCCGCCATTTGTAATTACCGTTGTTGTGATAGAATCAATCATCAACAACAGTTCTATCAAATGATATCATATCGAATGCCTTCATTTGTAATTACCGTTGTTGTAAGAGTACAACAACAATACCCTCATTTATAACCGTTGTTGTGAGTGTACAACGGTCAAGTGGTATATAATCAATCATCAACAACAGTTCTATCAAATGATGAGAGTCAGAATGTGCCCTCATTTGTAATTACCGTTGTTATGAGAGTACAACAACGATTCCATCATTTACAACCATTGTTGACTTGTTGTGAAAGTACAACAACGATTCCATCATTTACAACCATTGTTGACTTGTTGTGAAAGCACAACAACGATTCCATCATTTACAACCGTTGTTGTGAGAGTACAGGACTTAAATGAAGTTCTTCATCATCTAGTTTTAATCTTTCAAACAATGATTTTAATTCATCGTCTTCTAATATCCACATTGTTGATGAAAAGTCCTGTGGTTTCAACCAATGGAAATCGTATCGAATACCATCATTTGTAATTACTGTAAACATTATGTGATATATAATGTACATCATCACATGATATTCCATGTATACCCGCCAATTAGTGTGGCAGAAGCTTAAAATCCGACAAAAAGGATGTGTGATAAAATAATAGCTAAAATTTAATTAAAAAAAAAAATTAGCATGGAACGGTCTAACTGAAAGTGATTGTTGTTCATAACAGGATTAATAAATATATACCCTATATCAAAAAGTAAGTGTATATTTGTATATTACAATTTTATTTTTAATCCTGTAATCATAAAAAAATACGTTAGTTGAAATCAAAATTGGTTATAATCAACATAACTTTATCTATTTTCTTACCAGGAAAAACTTGTAAAAAAAAGTATTTGGAAAGATTAAAAAATGTGTGTAATGTGTATTAATTTAAATAAGTTGATAGAAAAATATAGTATAGATTTTTAGTATATGTTCAGATTCTTGTAATGGCTGGTATGAAAACCAACCTGTTTATATAACAAATAAATTGACCGTAATGATAAAATGATAAGCCATTTTTAGAATTTCTTTTGTGAAAGGGGCTTGTCGTAAATGGGCTTGTGTGAAGTTTTTATTTGCTAAATATGGAAATAGGAATAGGAATTCCGGTATTAACGACTGCAGGACTTTACATTGACAAATAAAAAAAAAATGTACATGAAAATCAAAACCGGTGTCTATCTTTTTTATTTTAAAAAAGAATTCCTTTAAAATTTTAAGTAAATTTACTAGAACGAGTTATGGTCACATGTAAAATCTATACTCGTCTTTAAACTTGATTGAATTCAATTCTTTAAAATTTAGAAAGTATTTATTAAATCCTACCATGCCCCAAAACGTCATATTTTTGGGAACAATAACAATTTTTGTAGTCACATGACTATGATTAGTGCAGTTGGTATCATATATCACAGCTTATCAGCTATAGGCATTTATTGAATAGCTATATTTATTCTTTTACTATCGTGTCACTAAACATGCTAGAATTTTTTGTCTACCGACGAATATATTGCTATTATTTTTATTTATGTATGATGTTATGAACAAAAATTATAATTTTAAATATTTATTTTTTGTATGACGACAAATACACGATAATATTATTTTTAGATTGATAGCTATAATACTTATGATGGAATATTAGAACGGGTCAACGGGATTTTAAGCCTTTTTTTTGTATAAATTAGAAGTAATCCTTTTTATTATCAGAGGAATCGAAGAAATGCTTGTGAAGTTTTGATTGTGTTGATAAAAAGCCAAATTTTTTTTTGGTAGAACAACGGTATTAAATAATAATCCCCCAAGAAGCTCCAAAAACGTATAAATTAATTTTCGTTTAAATTACACTTTATCTACCTACTTATCTTGGAAACAATCACAATAATAAAAGGAAGTTAGTCCAACAACCGGTAGTACATTGACATCAGCTAAAATAAACCGGATAAAATTAACGTTTGCGATCCTATTGGCTGACGATCACGTAAGCACGTGAGTGGACCCGTGACCACAAATTTCATTGCTTCGTCAATGAGTTTCCTGCGAATTGCCCAATTCCTTGGATTGTCCCAACTGGCCAAAATCCGGACCTTCTTACTTCCAATTTAATATCTGTTGAAGCGTTCTCTTAACCCTGCTTATAATATGGTACAAAATTTTTAAGTTATAGATCCTATTTGTTCATCTTGAGATCTTAAACTTACTATCTGGAAATTTGTAAAGTATCGGCAGGTCCGCTTTTATCGGACGTGTTTTTTTGTGGCAGAATCATTGGAGTATGAATTTGAAAAAGCCTTATTTAAAGATATTCTAAATTACGCGAAAATTTAAATGTCTTTCGAACGAATTAAAGATACAACAGGCAGCCTGAACCAGCAAATCGGATCCGTATGTAGAGAGACGAAATTCTAAAGCAAAGGTGACTCGGGAGTCGGGACGAAACTTCGATGGCAACTAGTGGTTCTAAATTCTGGTTCTGAGGCAATCGGCTTCATGAATTTTTCTTCGAATGGATTTTCTGGTATAGCTACCGATTCTAATCCATTCTCGATATAGGGACACTTATGACTCGTCTGATATAATAGTAGATCAACCTGAATCAAGTGGAATTTGTGATTTATATGTGGACTTGAAAAAGCTCGATCTCGTCAAACGCCTCAGAAATTTGTAATCAAAATCTCGAAGATTTGGAAAGGCGGATTAACAAATGAGATAAATTTAAGAGCAAGGAACGGATGGCTACATTGTCAATTGCTAGTTTTCCCGGAATTAGGAAGACATCGTTTGTGATGATAAAGCTTCAAGTATAAATGAGAGAATAAGGAACACATATCTTAATGGATAAAATCGATAGTATACCTGCTTGTGATAAGAGTGTCGTTTAATTAATTAAATTGGTCAGTACCAATCGTTTTCTGCAATGACATCGATCCAAAACTCAAGCGTTAGGGTCCAATTGCCTATGAAGTGAAGTTCAACAAAACTTCGATCAGATCAAGAATTATGAAAATCATATAAGGGAGGATTTAAAAGGATGTGAATGAAGCCGTAAGAGAAGTCAATCCGATATTTGTCAAGTTTTGAACTTTTTACCCATATCAACCATGGTAGTATAAACTTTGATGTCCTAGAAAAACTTGCATTTCCAGCATCTTTTGTAAAAGCTGCTGATGCAGCGTCTTACGGTGATATAGTTGATAATGAATCCTTGAGAATGGATTTCGCCTGCTGGTTATACAGTAATAAGTATTCACGTCAATGGGAAGGAATCCAATGCCGCACGATAACTTAAATTTCAAAGCGGAGTTCAAGAAGTCATAATCCTATTAAGCTATTATTAGCCTTTGATTGACCAAAAATCTGAAGACGTGAATGATACCATTTAACAATCGAATCAATGACAAAACGAATTCGTAATGGGATGTCATATATTAGATTATAAATAAAAGAAACAAAAAAATTACTTATTGATTACACATAAATTATGGATCTATACACGGCAACCAAAGACCAATTCTGGAATTCAAAGACGAAAATCTTGCAAAGGATCGCCTCTTTAGTAGGTCGAGAAGGTAACTGAGGAAAAATTGCGGCGGGTATAGTGTAGTGGAAGTGAGGAAGATGACCGCAATTTCATTTAGATTTTTTCAATTAAAAAGACAATTTTTTTCCTTTTTACACCAATAAACTTTTACTATATTCCAATAATTGATGATGAATTATTGACAATTAGTTCAACCGTTGGGACAAACAACTGGAATGACAAATGAATATTCGAGTTTAACAAAAAAAAAAAGGATTCAAATTGGAAGAATAGGAATGTCAAATGGACAACATAACGATCAACTTTGTCACATAATAAGACAATACTCTTCGTGAATAGTCAAAATGATGAAATTAGCTGTCTAACGGTACTGGCTTAAATTCCTGTTGAGTGTTGACTCTTTACTTCACGCGATATATATGAACGGGCAGCGATTTCGGTACAGAAGAATAACATTGAACTATTGGACGACTTACTCCCTCTATTATTAAATGAGATTGACAGGCAGAATAAGCTGATATGTTTGAGTGCTTATGGGTATTATTGCATTTATCGGTATACAGTATGTCAATATTGTAGTAGATATTCTTGTATATACTCATCTGTTGGAATGTCTTTCTCCGTGTATCTTGATTCTTGAAAATCCATTGAAGGATTACACGGACACACTTATTTGGGAGGAATTTTGTGAGCAACAAGGATCATTTTCTACCTCAGTTATAGTTTTAGTGTATATGCATTTTTCCTGCTCTCTTTTTGATCCTACTACCAATTCTAATATTAGCAGAAAATTACAGTGTACATAAAAATTGGCCGAGATTCATCACAAAACTGCTGAATGCAAAGAACATAACGGAGCAATAAAGGTCAAATTCTTAGAATTATATGATGAATTAACACAAGTCAAACACGACCACGAGAATATTGAACGAAAGAAATAATTTATTGTATTTAAAAAATTTTCCATAAGATCTATTATATATATAATCCAGCAGTCCTATACCTGAAAAGCTTTAAAATGCCTAATGAATAGCCCAACGTAATAAATAGAGAAAACATTAGAATTCAGATAAGATGAACCCCAATTAAATATGAGAAAATCATGATAACTTGAATGTGGAAGAAACTATTCGAAAGGATTGTACAGTCGGCTCTTAGATCTTAATGCGGAAGATATTATTAATGCTACAAAATACTCATCGTCTTCGCGGTCTTCGCAGCCTTCATTTCAGAAATCAAACGGGGACTAAAACAATTCGTAAAGCATGCAATAGCTTTACAATGCTTTCCCCCGACTTCAAAAGGGCCTACCCGAAGTAAGTGATGATGTCCGCACTCGTTTTCATCAAACGCTCTATTACAAGGATCTGTATTTTAAACTTTCCATAGCGATAGATTGACTTAACATTCAAGTTTAATTCATTATATTCAAGAATTCTTGACTGAACATCAAATGTGATAAAAAGAAAGAGATCAAATCGAACCGACTAACTTTGGGAGTATTTTGATGAAAGCGTACTTTTCAAGTTTCCACCGAGAGATTAGGACTTTGGCAAGCGCGAGTCAAGACGTCAACATACGAATGTGATCATATTCGATGAAAGTTTGGATCAAAAAGAAATTTATGCAATCAGCTATCGGTTGATACAATGTTTATATATTTTGCATACGGACAAACGAGGTTCGGAAAAGCTTACGTGATGTGAACAGTCCAGAGAAGAAAGGAATCATTCTCAGGCCATTGATGAAGTTTTTGCAAAAACTTAGAGGTTCACGTTCAATATATTGAAATTTATAACGAGATAACTAATTCAAAACTTATAGATTAAGACATGACATTTAAAGATCACGAAACATCATACAGGGACCACAAGAAATTATATAAGAGCAAGGATTTATACAAAACTGTACAATGAAACCATCGCACGACAATCATGGAGAATATGTAAATAATTTTTATTCGCTTTATTCCATTAGAAATATATATAGATTTATTTTTATTTTTATTACATATAAAAGTTAACCCAAGTTACTAGCAAACTTATTAAAAAACCTTATCTTTAATAAACTATTTTATAGACTTTCTTTTCTTTTTTTTAGTTATTTTGAATATCTCTAAATTTAAAATTTTTCATTACCATTCAGTTATTAGCAATATGCATTAATTGAGCTTGATCTAACTGAAATTTTGATATACTACAAGTTTTAATCCTTTTAACTTCCTATTTCTATTAAGTCAAGAATTATATTAATTTGAATTAAAATTAATAAAATTAATGAATTCTTTTCTCCATTTCGAAAAAAAATCATTTAAAAAAAAGAAAAAAGAGTAAAATGGATTTAATTGTTAAAAATCATAAATTATACAAACACGTTATCATAAAACTGAATAGTGAATAAATATTGATTTGATGTATTACTCATTAAACCAAAATACTCAAAATATCTTTCTTCACTACCGTCATCACATTCAATTACAGCTTCTATTGCTCCTGATATAATGATAACTTGAATTCTCCCATCCTACATGTACTTGCTATACTTGCTCTTAGTGGTCGACGCTGTGATTACATCCGGAGTAGATTTCTTGATTCTCCCCTAACGAACTCTTCCAATAATTCCACTTAAAAGCTTTTATTTGGTTACTCCTTTTATTTTGCACATAATAAGCCCTAATATGATCTAAAATTTTATCATAAATATTTTTAAAAGTTCTAGTCCTGAAATAGACTTTATGTTCGACCACCAAGTACAAACATCCATCGACCCATCACCAGCCGCCAAAATTCAATTTCGTCATCAAATATTATGTTCAACCCTTTAAATCATGATCTAGTTCCCTCTTGTACTCCGTGTAAATTTACGAGCAGCGATTCCAACTATTTTTGTCTTCATTTCTAATTGTCATTCTCTTCTGGATGTTATGAAACTATAATTGAAAAAACAACGTCCGGTGTCCAAATGTCATTTCTCACGAAGTCGAACTATATTAGTTTTCACTCGTTCAATTTCTAAAAAAGAAAATTAACCATCTTTTCACGGGATTTATTTAATAGAAGTTTAATGAGCCCCTGATGTTGACTGATTTCCAATCGCGTATTACGTATCTTGTTGCACATGACATTAAAATAAGTATTTAACTACTTCCTCTACTTCCCTTGTATTTCTTGTATTTCCTTTCAAGTTACTTGCTCGTTGCTTTTCTCGTTTGGATTCACTTACCAGGTATAATTTATTATAATTTATAAGCGGTTAACATAAAAAGATTTATTCTAGTTAGTTAAGTTTAGGTCAGCTATTTAAACGAAATCAAACTTTTTTATCCATTCAGTTTTTTAAATCAAACCCCCGAAAAGAAGTTTGTCAACAAAAATGCCTTCAACTCCTTCTCAGTGTCGACGCGCAATATTTAAAAAGCTCGTTAAATTACGCCAAGCTAACAGGAATACTGACTACTCAGTGCGTGTTTTTTTTATAAACTGCCGATTTTTTTTCTTTTAGGCAAACTTATCGATTTGTTAAGATTTACCGTCATTGCAAGTTATTTCTTCAAACATTGGCACAAGAAGCTAATAATGGAGCAGAAACCGACAATACAAATGTAGTTGAAGAAAAACACGCTCTGGAGGTTAGTCAAAATTGTGAACCAAACATCTCAACTTCAATTATTTTACTCTAATATAATGATTTTATCTAAATAGAAAGTTTTACATGATTTCCAAGGAAATGCTAGGAAAGAAAATTATTTTCTATTTTGAAATCATAACTAAGAATTTATTAATTCATCAGCGTGAAGTTTTTTTTTCCCAATAATAATTGTTTTTTCTCATGTCGTCCTATAATTTCCCTTTAACCATTTTTGTGAATAGTTAAATATTCTCTTCAAAGTAACAAGATCACTTACAATAATACAGTTTTGTATCATTCTTTTTGATAAATGAATTATTTTCGATTAAAACCTATGAAAATATTCAATTATACTTCGTTTTCGATAACATTCATAGCATTCTCCTAATCAACATTTCGTTGTGAAACAAATTTTATTTATTTATTTTTTTATTTTTTCTTATTTAATTTTGCTCAATCTTTGTGAATCAAAAGTGAATCAAAACATTGTTTCTTCTGGAATAGATCATGTAGTGCAGTGAAAGAATGAGCATTAAACAAACGATCACTGTCATTTACAAAGCTTTGAATACATTATGCAGGTGAAAGTTTAATCACACAATTGAATCATCAAGATTTTCATTTCGTTACGTTGAATCAGGATTTGATAAAATAAATAAATAAATAAATCAATAAACCATATATTATAAAATAAACACAAACAATAAAACCTGTATATATGAATTTTATATTATGAATTTTATATACTGAGCCTTATTAATTCTATTAATTCTATCAACTTTATTAATTTTATTAAATTAAATTAAACTGAATTATAATTCAAAGACCTTTAAGTTGAAATTACTGAATCCCATCAGGTGATTTAATTTAATTTAGTTTAATTTGAATTTAACAATACTACTTTCATTTATTTTCTAATAATTACCTCTTCTATTTATTATAATAATTTTTTTTAAATAAAAATAAAGGTTTAGTTTTATTTTTTTTATTTTTTATCTTTATTTTGTTTTTATAATTATTATTTTTATGGTTTTTTTTTATTTTTTTTATATAAAATTGATAATCCTTTTTAAAAGTTTTTTTTTAAAATTCTACTTTAATATTTAACCTATTAGTAAATTTTATATAATTATATGATATAATTTTGCCCAAATTTTCAAAATAAACGTCGTCTGTATCACGTGGCGTTACTCAAATCCAAAAAAGGAAATTGTGTTTCCCCGTAAAAAATGTGACTAAATTGGGTTATCCCATGTTACACAAAATTCAAAAAAAGGAAATTTTACGTCGATTTCATAATTCCGCCCGGAATTATCTCATTTTCTGTAAAATACATTTTGTAACGCGTTTGCTTATCTATTATGTTACACGATATACAATTGTAATTTGTTTAATTGTTTACCAATGATCTTTTTTTTTAGACACGTATTTTTCTTTTATTTTTTCTCAATTTTTTTTTGAAATGTCGTTAATGCTACTCTTTACTTTGTTTTTTGTTGTTTATTTACTACTTTTTTGAAATGATATTACTGACACTTTCTTTTCTTTTTCTTTACTTTTTTTATGAACTATTATTTCATTATTATTACTAGTTTTTTTTCCTTTTCTTCCTTTTCTTGATGCTTTGCTTTATTTTTGTGGTCTCCTTTCATGCTATTTTGTTTTTTCATGGGGTATTTGTTTCATTTTCGTAGTGTATTTTGGTGTATTTAACTTATTTTTGTGGTGTATTTATCTCTGTATTTGCTTATTTTTGTGGTGTATTTGTGTTCTATTTAACTCATTTTCGTGATGTATTTGTTATGTATTTAACTTATTTTTGTGGTGTATTTATCTCATTTTTATGGTGTATTTGTGGTATATTTATCTCTGTATTTACTTATTTTTGTGGTGTATTTGTGGCCTATTTGACTTATTTTATGGTGTATTTGTGGTACTTTTGTGGTGTATTTATCTCTGTATTTGCTTATTTTTGTGGTGTATTTGTGTTCTATTTAACTTATTTTCGTGGTGTATTTGTCTTATTTTTGTGGTCTACTTAACTCATTTCGTGGTGTATTTGTGTTCTATTTAACTCATTTTCGTGATGTATTTTTGTGGTGTATTCGTAACTCATTTCGTGGTGTATTTGTGGTCTATTTAACTCATTTTATGGTGTAGTTGTGGTGTATTTGTGGTGTATTTGTGGTACTTTTGTGGTGTATTTGTGGTTACTTTTGTGGTGTATTTGTGGTACTTTTTGTGGTGTATTTGTGGTACTTTTGTGGTACTTTTTGTGGTGTATTTGTGGTATTTTTGTGGTATTTTTGTGGTATATTGTATTTGTGGTATTTTTGTGATGTATTTATCTCTGTATTTGCTTATTTGTGGTGTATTTGTGGTCTATTTGACTCATTTTTGTGATGTATTTGTGGTACTTATTTATCCACTTTTGTATTATATATATTTAAAAATTAATAAAATTTTTATTTTTGAATTTTTCTAACTATTATTGGGATGGTTATCACTAGTGCTTCGATCTGAATGGGATTTTAATGGATCAATCCGAGTTGGATATTAGTTTGGCCAAAATTAATAAAATTTGTAGAAGAATAATTTTTTTAAATCTGACAAAAATTATAGTTTGACAAAAATAATAGAAAAATGTTGTGATGTTAATTAACAGATCAATCAATCCGGATTGATGCATTAGTTATCACTGGTGACTGAAATTATAATGATTGATTAGCATTAAAAAAATATAGTGCCAGTTAAAAATAACAAATCCTTTTACTAACAGATTAAATACTCAAGATAGGATAAATAATATTATATTTAAAGAAGAATAATTTACTAGATTCACAGAAAAATTAAATTGTAGTACTTAATAATATTTTATTTGAATTGGATTCAATAAATCTAAAAACTTATTAAATGAAAATCTTATTTTATTAAAATACCATAATAAAATGTATATATTAACTAATTAGCAACAACTGGTAATATAGTTGGACTTATAAAAAGACAAAAATATTATTAACAATATTATAATAGACCTAGTAACAACATAACTAATTTTATTTTAAATCAATTCTGAAAGAAAAAGGGAATAGTTAATATAAAAAAAAAATCAAACTAATAGATATAGTCGGGGTCTTCACAAAAAACGTGATTGAGATTGAGATTGAAATTTAGTATAGAATTTCAATCTTACTAACATATTAAAATTGAAAATTCTATATGAAATCACAATCTCAATCTCAATCACGTTTTTTGTGAAGACCCCAGTATTATTTATTTTATTTTACTTTTATTTTTATTTGTATTTTAATGATTGCATCTTACTGGATGGATATTTATAATAATTTGTTTGTATAATATATAAACTTAATATTAATTAAGCATATATAAATCATTAAAAAAAAAAATAATAAATAATTATTGAAAATTTTTGGTAATATAATTTTATATTACTAATAATTAAAAATACTTATTTATTTAATATAATAAACTTATAAGTTTTTGCATAATAAGGCCATTCCAAATTAATAATTAGTTTAACGTTCTTTCCAGCCAAAAATTTTGAGGGGAGAGGAGGAGATAGTTTAAACAAACATGAAAATTAAACATATTAAAAATTTTGGAAATTTTTGGTAAAATCAGAAATTCTCAGTACTATTAAATTTTAGTAAAGGAAGGGTGTTTTAAGCATATTTAAACATATTAAACATATATATTTAAATCACTCTTAAATTTTTTAAAAATAGAGGGTAGAGGAAGACGTTAAACTAAAGATTAAATTGGAACGGCCTAATAGTAGATAATAATATTATATTAATATTGTAAATGTATTTTTTTATTTTTATTAATACAATTAAACTTCTATAATTGAAACTATAATCATACATTGCTGGCTGACTTCAAGAATTTAGAAATGAAATAAAATTTATCAAGAAAAGCTTTATAAAAAAGCAACATCTTCTGATTAAATTATTATTGATAAAGTTTTACCATTATTATATATTAAATGTCAAGTTATTCTTTTAAATATAAATGAAACAGGGCTTTTTTACTGGTATGTTTTTATATTTTGTTTAATATTATATTAGCAATAATTAAATAAGGAATACTTTTTTTATAAATTAAAACTATATCAAATACTAACTACAAAATATATTTCTGAATGAAAAAAAATAAATAATGTCTCCCAATTATTTATATATAAATGCTAATGAGTTGCATAAGCTGAGTTCTCCCAGTAAATAGTTTTTGTATAAATTTGTACTAAATGGGCTCATCCATATATAATTGGCTCTAGATTGGCTTAAATTTGGATTATTTTTTGCATAAATTTGAGCTAATTTCGAGCCAATGAGCCCGTTTGGTATAAATTTATACAAAAACTATTTACTGGG